AACCCTAAACCATAAAACCCAAAACCCTAGAACCCTAAAAGCCTAAAACCCAAAACCCTAAAACCCTGAAGCCCTCAACCATAAAACCCTAAACCCTAAACCCCAAAACCCCTAAACCCTAAACCACAAAAAAAAAAAACCTAAACCCTAAACCCCTAAAGCCCTAAAGCCCTAAACCCCGAAACCCTTGACTGAAAATCCGTCCTTCTCCTCGCCATCGAAGCGGAAGATCCCCGACCTGAAGCTTAAACTCAAGCCCTCATATTACTCCTTTAAAGGGTTCCTTAAGGGTAGAGGACTCTTTTAAAGGGTTCCTTAAGGGCCACTTTAAGGGTTTAGGGGTTTATAAGGGCCTTAATAATTAGAATAGGGTTTGGGGGGGCTCCTTTATAGTATATTTATAAGAAGGAACCCCGAAAATAGTATAGGTAATTGACGGTAATTGTTGAGGCTCTTAGAGTACGCACGCTTGCGGATAATATTGCACGGTTGAGGGTTTAGGGGTTTAACGGTTGAGGGCTTATAGGGTTTAGGGTGTAGGGTTGAGGGTTTAGGGCTTATGGGGGCCTCCACAATTTGAAAAGGGTTTTGGGGTGTAGTCTATAGTATTATGAGAATCAGGAAACCCATGGAGTAGTATTGGTAATTGCTCAGGTCTCTATATTGTTCGGTTCGTTCAATTAATAGGTGAATCATAGAGGTCGGGTGTCAGGTCACTCAGTACGACATTCAGGGCCCAGGCAGGTACAGATGGATTTATTTCTGTTTTGCCAGCGACCGTGGGGTGGCATGAAATAGACTGGAGGCCAAGGATAGCGCAACTAAACAGAACTCGACCACAACACATGTGGTGTCAGTGTGGGGTGCTCCGAAAAGCCGTCTTTCTTAGACCTCCCTCCCATATGTCACTCTCCCGCAAACTCTTACGCCTAAACCCTCAAGCCCCCAGACCCCAAACCCAGGCTTCCGACTGGTCTCCCGTGGTCGGTGTGATCTCAGGGCTGTGGAAATAGAAGCCTCGGTGCAGGTCGCAAGGGTTGACATTGCTCCGGGTGTGGAGGGCTTATCGCGCTTAAGAGTTTGTGGGTTTATCGCAACTGAAGATTAGAGAGGGCTTCGGGCTTATAACGTATAAGGCTAGTCAAAAATTTAGGGAGGAGGCTTCTCGATTTAGCCATTTAGGGGCTCTGGGTCTACTCGCAGGGTCAGCGGACTTATGTAGCAAGTCGGGTTCACCATAGGGTAGCTATACCAAGACATATGCAACTACTTCTGGACCTCGTTACGCTACTTCTCGGTCTCCAGGACTAAGCAATGGCGAGGGTTTCTTGGTCGCGAAGCTCTACTGCCGGAAAACCACTGAAAAACTTCATCACTGTCTACACAAAGGGTCAGCGGACGTAGTCAGCAGGGCTATACTCAAGGTAACCACACTCACGAATACTTCAAGCCCAGATGACTGTGCTTCTAAACCATACTTACTCGGTCCCATGATCCTTTATCCGGACCCAGGGCCCTGATTCCTTATTCCCCAAATTCTGCACCCCACCCCTAAACCCTAAACCCTAAACCCTAAACCCTAAACCCTAAACCCTAAACCCTAGAGGCCCTAGAGTCTGCACCCCACCCAAACCCCGATTTCCCACGACCCCCTCAACACTAGCCCTTCTACCCTTAGACGATAAATGCTAAACCTTGGAATTCCTTGTCCTTTAAGCCCAATACCCTGGCCCAAAAAAGTTTAAACTTTTCTTTTCGTAGGGGTTTAATATACCAAAAAAGTTTAAAGTTTACCTATTGGGCTCCTAAGTTCCTAAGTTGTAACCCCCCCTCCCTGAACCCGAGGCCAGCGCCGATGGACCCGCCATTTCCCGGCTGCGTCTCAGCCTGACTCTTGAGAGTCTGAAGGCGTCTTTAGGGGTTTAAGGCTTCAGGGTTGAGGTTTAGGGTTTAGGGTTGAGGGTTTAGGGTTGAGGGCATAGAGGTCAAGAACTGTAGTATTTAGGATTCAGGAATTATGGGATTAGGGCTTAGATGGCTTTTGGGTTCGGGAATTAGGGTTCTGTGCAACGAGAATGTGGGTTTAGAGTACCGGGAACTTGGGGAATCTAGGGATTACAGGGTTTATAGCGTTTGCGTAGACTTTTGAGTTGCAATACCTCTCATACGGATAGCGTGTTTTACCGTAGGCATGGGTCCTTACTGCTGCCCTTCTTGCTACCGTTACGGTTTCTATGACTACCATAGCCAGTATCAGGCTTCTCACTCAAACTTGCGGCTGTTACGGACCCTATGTGAAGGCCCTTTTGTGGTCTGGATCGCATCATTTACCAGATGTGGTTGCATGGACTTGGTAAAACAGTCCGCGAGCTGGTGATGCGTTGGTAATTCTCCCGCTGAAATCAGGTCATCTCAGTAAGGGTGACCGGCCTTATAAGCAGGAGTGTCTTCTTCCCAGTGGGTTTGCCAAAGACCGGCTACAGTAACGCGATCGATAAGCGTTTGTCCTCCACCTGTGTCGGCACTTTGGAAAAGCAGGTGATCGGATAGCGATCGGGAGTCAGCGCACTGCACACGTAGCATGCTCCTTCGAGCGATCTCTTCAGACAGAGAGTTTGAAGTTAAGTGCAGGCTTTAGGGGAATCTTGGGCATTGCCGGTTAGCAGTCGCTTCAACCTATCAATTGACAAATCGCATGAATTGCCAACTAGCGATGACCCTAAACCCTAAACCCTAAACCCTTCTAAACCCTAATCCCTAACTTTATTGGAAACCCCTTAGTGGGATT